ATTAACATATAAAAAAAGAAAGTTTTTATTTAAAAGATTTATAGTCGACAATAGCCATCTAATGGTTAATTTTAATGTTAGAAATCTGAAAGAATAAATACTAACAATAATAGCAAGCATAGAAATTACAACATGCTTATAATATAAAAAAAAATACGTCACTATAATTGGTTTCCTGTCTCTTATAAAAGTTTCCAAATGTTTCTTTGATTCCTTAACTTTTTCCGGTTTTTCCAGACTATTTTTTATTTCTTTAACTTCTCCTTGTTTTTCCCTAATCGCTAATGACCCTGGAAAATAATCTATGCTTGTATATTCAATTACAGGGACACGCGCACGTGTGCGTGTGTGTGTGTGTGTGTTTTACGAGCATCGAAAAAATGCGGATATGAAATATGGTAATATAAAAAAGAAGTGAAATTGTAATTGTAATGATGTTAAGATTCTAAGATATATTAGAAAACATTTTTCGATAATTAATCCAACCTGTAAATAGGAAATTCGAAAACTTCATGATTGTGTTTTTGTACGTTTATTAGTATATATGAAACGATAACGACTTGGTAAACGCGAAAGACTTTAGAGTTTATATTCTCAAGAAGCAGTTGGCGATGTGCCAGTGGAAATATCCAATATCCGCGATTGCCATGTTTTCTTAATTTCACTTATAATATAATTAAGCAAATACGATTCATTCGTAAATTTTGAGATATCCATACGAATCTCAATAATTGGACACACATTCGAATGTCTGGTCGGCTTCTATGATCTGGTAAAAACCCAAGATATATAGAATATTGTGTGAATATATTAATCTTGTAATTCTCCCAAATCCAACGAAAAATTATTCATTGCATAACATAATAACAATATTTACTCAATTATTCCAACAATTCATTATTACGAGGAGCCAACAAATGAAGCAAAATAAAGCTTTGGGAAATATTAACGGCCATTAAGTTTTAATATTTTTCGAATAAAAAATCAAATAAAATTATTAATTCGATAAACTATGCAAATGTGATATAGTTAATTTGTAGCAATCGAGCAAAGATAAAAAAACTATTATACAAAAAATACTCTGTTGTTCATAAACTATAGAAAATAATAAAAAATAACATTGATCTATTTTATGAGCTATTGTTAGTGAAATGATTTTATTGATTTATATCATTGAATTAATCGCTTTAGCTATCGGATATAGCTATCGGAAATGTTTCGTGCGAATGCAACAATGTTCTCACCTTTTTGAAAAGAAATGACGAACATTTAAATAGAAATATAAGGGAAATTATTAGCGTTCCATGTTTGTATTGAAAGTTCAAAAGTTATCGCCGCGCAATCACTTCTGAAATAAATTTCTTTAATAAAGAATATATGATTTATTCGAAACATATTTAACTTCGATCAAAGTGTTCTCCATCGTAATTTAAAAAATATAAGGTATTGTCGATATTTTTTATGCAAACGGAAGACAAACGCGGACAGATATCGCGTTTTCGTTACATCATCGCAATTTGTTTTATCATCCTGATACTTTTTTGTTTTGCACAGCCGTGCGAAGCAATGATATCGAGCGGAAATATCACGAGCGAAATTACACGTACGCAGTTGTAATGAAAACTCCACGTATCTGCCTGAATACTCGTGCATCTCCATTTCGCTCTGTAATGCGTATTTCCAGCGTCTTTTATTACGCGCGGCAAAAGCAGCGTATATTATTTTTTTGCCGAGTTTAACGCGGTATTATGATTTATTACGACACGAGCAATTCGTAAATACTGCAAACACGAAAGCATACATATCATCGCCCTGAATGTGAAAAACCATTTTTATGCAGTCTAAAATCGTGCAAGTAAAATTAAAAGTAGAATGGATGATATTTCTTTCTCTCTCTCTCTCTCTCTCTCTCTCTCTCTCTCTCTCTCTCTCTCACACACACACACACACACACGCGCGCGCACGCACGCACGTACTCACAAGTGTCAATGGTACTAATAACAGCTT